GTTCACAAACGAATCATACGGCCTCGAGAAAGACAGGTGTGGTCAGGAAAAGGACAAGGTAGCGGAAGAAATGCAACTGCACAACAGCGGCGGCGATAACGCTGCTAGAGGGTGAAATCAGAAAACAGAAAACCCCCGCTGCACAATGGGATTTGCAATTTCCATATCGAAGCTTCAGCGTCCCTGGTGTGCATATTGCGTGCATCACTGATGTTTGCAAATGCCAGTTAAACACATCCGAGACTCGTGATCGTCAGATAAATTGTAGCAAAATGGTGGGAGAATCTAGCTAAGTAACAAAAACCACGTGGTTCAACCGATCTGTCCTAGCAACAGATGTTATGATGTGGAGACCAAAACCGCAGCCAAGAGAATCCCTCAGCGTGAACCGTTGTTGACTACCCGTTAGGACATTCGGGTGAGAAGTGCTTAAAGTGAACAATAAAGTAAAAATCTACTTCCATAGTTGTGAAGCGAAAGCGTATTCTTCGTGTCATCAGTCTTGTAAAAAAATTATTGGGAAAACACCGCGGAAGAATGAAAGTTTCGGCGACCCGCCGCTGCAAATTCGTGCCAATAGATTCGAAGAGATTTAACTGACATCAGAAGAGAAATGGGGAGACCGAAACCACTTAACACCAGAGTTTGCAGTATTTCAGCGGCCTAGCTGCAGCATGGATTGCCTGTTACCTGGGTAGATGAGTAAATAGATGACGCAACGTGCATCCAGCCTATGGTGGCACATGAGCCTAGTAGCAGCCAACAGAACTGTCTCAGTGTGGGGTGTCCGCAGCGCCTTGCACCGATGTCCCGCTGTGATGCACACGCAAGTGGTCGTACGCGGGCTGGAATATAGTCTAGGCTATCAAGATCAATGCAAAGGTGGGAGCTCGAACTCGGTGAGCAGATGCAGCTTGAATCACTATACCAAGAATCCTGGGCTAAACTTAATTGGAAATATCTTTCATAAGGCGGTGTGCATCAAACCAGAGGCAACAGAAGAAAAATAGCGCTTGTTACACCTTATTCTTGCAGTGGAATAGGCCGCAGCTAAAAATAACGATGTGGAATTTCTACAGGATACAACGATCGGAACATCGTACAATGCACATGAGTTAGAGTGGCTATTGGGAGTATCGCGAGCCAAGGAAGAAACGTGGGTCGTTTGGGTCAACCTAGTGTATTTTGTCAGGTATCAAATTCATCCCTAAGATGAAGGTAATGCATACAAAAGGAGTTGGTAACGATGTCCTGGTTATTGTTAGGAGCTATTACTTTCGCGCAGTATTCAAGGCAGCAATACGCAAGATGATGGACAACGGCATGAAGTTGCACGTGGGACAGTGTGTCGGGATGAAATATCTGATGAACGTGGGCATAAAACCAGCTGGAAGTTCTAGAACACCTCAGTTGCAGTGTGCTGGTGGTAAGACACTGAATCGCCGCAAAACGTCCGTCAGGGTAGATCCCAGTCCATAGCTGTCATCCCTGGGAACATTCAGCGTGTTAATCACTGACACATGTCGCATAACTTGTTGCGAAATTGTAAAGGTACTTAATCTCCCGTTGGGAACAATGCCCATTGCCGTTCGAAAGAGTGAGTGTCACACAGAGATGCTCAAACCTCTTTTTGCTTCTGACAGACCAATCGGAGCCTACGCTATAGTAGAGGGCCGTTATGACGTGGATTTCTTAATTCATATAGTACTACTGACTTAGCGCCAAAAGATTTACAGAGAAAAGCTTAAGTCTGCTATGATCGAAATAAAGCGACGCACGGAGGATGGAGAACCTAATCTGCGAATTGTAAATTTTCGGGTAGTTGCCCGGATTCCTCCACGAATCCGGATCAACAGGTCTCTAATGCTTCAGGCGCGCCCAGCGGTTCCTACCGCGGTCTGTGCGTAGCCTTTACTAATGTATGCAGTCTGATGAACAAGCGCGATGTGCTGTACGACTTTGTAAGCTCTCAGTGACCAGATGCATTAGGCCTTGCTGAGACAGGGTTAAACTCCGAGGCAACCGTCCAAGAAGTGGAAATCACCGGCTACTCATGCTTCTGCTGTGATAGACCATCAAATGATCGCGGTGGCGTTCTACTTTACATAAAGTCTTCATTGTGTGGGAGACTAGTGAGCGCCAACCAAAGCGCTGATAGTCTATGTGAGCAGTTACGGTGTTCGATTCACCTCAGACGCTGCGAGTTGCTCGTGGGCGTGGTATATCGCAGCCCACTGAGCCGCAGTTTGGACTGGTTGCCGCATGTCCGCAACCACATGAGTCGTCAGATGTTCCTACTCATGGGTGATTTCAACTTGCCCCGAATACAGTGGCCTGAAGCTGAACTTCTCCACGGCCACTGTGAAGTCGAGAGGAAGTTTACGGAGTTGCTATTTGAAACTGGGGCCACACAGCACATCAACCAACCGACACGCATTACTGCGCGCGCGACTCCATCATGCTTAGACCTACTTTTGACTAGCTGTGAGCAGCGTGTGCATAACATTCAAGTCTTAGAGCCTCTGGGAGCGAGCGACCACTCGATGATCATAGGCAGCATGGAACTACCACTGCCGTATTCTCCCCACTGGAGCCAGCCTTCAACTATTGGAAGGCGGACTTTAATGGCCTCATTCGAGCAGCGAGCCAGACGGACTGGTCTTTACCACAGGATTCATCTACTGAAACCTGTTGGACTATCATTAAAGAGGGAGTAAAATCGTTGTGCGCCCGATTTGTACCCCTCAAATTTCGAAAAGTTGGGCCAGTCAAACCACATTGGTTCGACAAGAGTACAACAAACTGGCCCGACGACGACGCAGACTATGGAACAAGTTCGTGTTATCTGGCTCTGATGAGGACCACAATGCGTATAAGGTACAGCGAAGTCGCTGCAACGACGCGAAAACAAGAAAACGCAGAAGTTTCGAAGAGGAGCTTGCAGCCGCCGCAAAAATTGCTCCCAAGAGGATCTTTGTATATGTGAAACGGCGCCTGAGGCCTGTAGCCAATGTCCCAGTGTTAGAAGGCTCCGATGGACAGCCCCTAACCTCGAGTACAGATCGTGCGTCCGCATTGACGACGCACTTCGCCTCCGTATTTGCAAGTGACCAGGTGTCTGTAACGAGTTCGACGAGTACCGCTCCAGCCGAACTTAATAGCCTGGACTGCAATATTGAGGATGTGCGCAAGCTTCTAGCAAATCTTGACGGGACAAAGCCTGCTGGGCCAGATGGTATACACCCACTGATCCTCAAGTCCCTATCGACCATCATCGCGCCTTCTGTAAATGAACTGTTTGACAGGTCACTATCCATTGGACTGTTACCAGACGACTGGAAATGCTCAGTCGTAAAGCCTATACCGAAAGGTGGTAACCCAAGTAAAGTGGATAACTACCGGCCGATCTGCCTGACTGCTGTTTTGGCAAAGACGCTCGAGAAGATCGTGAAGAAGAACCTTCTGCAGCTTCTCGAGTCGAAAAACCTGTTGACCTCCGCACAGCATGGTTTCATGAAAGGTCGCTCGTGCATCACCAACCTACTGTTGACAAGGCACGAATGGTTACAAGCGATGAACCAAGGCCATTCAGTCGATGTCATTTACATTGACTTCAGTAAGGCTTTTGACAAGGTCAACCATGCAGTGCTCCTTGACAGGCTGAGGATGTACGGTGTTGGTGGTTCGCTACACAAATGGATCAGAAATTTCCTTGTGGATCGGAAGTGGAGAGTCCAGGTGGACAACCATCTAACGGACTGGTATCCATCGAGCAGCGGCGTGCCCCAAGGCACTGTACTGGGGCCGATATTGTTTCTGATCCATATAAACGATGTGCCTAAGCTACTCCAATCACCATGTGCGTTGTTCGCAGATGACTTGAAGGTGTGGAGAGTAATCCGCACACTCAATGATTGTGATTTACTTCAGCAGGATCTCGACAGCCTCTCAACATGGTCTGCAGCGGTTAACCTTCCGATCAACCCTACTAAGTCGCAATTCATGAGGTTGGGTAAGTATGAGCACAGCCGAACGTACACAGTAGATGACCAACCACTGCATCCCGCGTCTTTCGTGCGCGACCTCGGTGTGCTCTCACGCTGCGAGCTAAGGTCCATTGACAACACGAATAGGCTGTACCAAAACAGCCTTCGTATGCTTTGGGCGCTCAGGCGCAGCTTCAGCACTTGGTCCGAAGAGATTGCTTCTCGCCTCTTCGTCTCGATAATACGACCAATGATAGAGTACGGCTCTCCCGCATATTGTCCCATCACGCTGGGCGAGGTAGAAAAGCTTGAGCGGGTGCAGCATATAGCCACCAGGCTGATTCCCAACTTACGAGGTATGCCATATGAAGACCGATGTAAGAAACTAGGGCTGTACACCCTAGCATATAGTCGGCTGAGGGTTGACCTAATCATGACGCACCGGATATTACATCTGAGTGATTACCCCATGTTGAGACAACTGCTTCATCTGCGCACACCAAGCAGCACGCGAGGACACCGGTACAAACTTATCGTACCGCAGTTGAAGCGGGTCGCTCACCAACTCTGTTTCGAACGTAGAGTGGTGAATACCTGGAACAACCTGCCGCAGCCGGTAATAGAGGCGAATTCAGTGGCCGAATTTAAGAAGCTTCTATACAAACACTTTGAAGAGGCAAAATATAGATAGCGTAACGATAATTAATAGGTTAATGTTCAAGAGGGACAACTGATGCAGCTACACAGAGTATGTTCTACTCGCTCCTTCAAAGCAGTATCAGCCTAGATACCAAAACAGAATTTCTCAGAGACCATCATTTCCACAATGATGAGAAAGCAGGCTGTTCTAAACTGGTTCAAATGCACTGGCATTAATTAGAAGCTGGGTTAAGTGCAAAATCATAGCAGGGGAACATACTGGAAAGAAATACCTGTGTCAATTCTAATTAAAAAGCTCCGGTATGATGGGAACGCATCCCGTAACTGGGGTGAGAAAGCAAAAGTGAGACTCACCTCCGACTGACATGAGAAGAAGCAGGTGGAGGCGTCGGAGCCTGGGGATGGGTAGTTCGCGCACCGAATGATCTACGAAGCGGAAGAAAGAAGTGGGCAACGAAATTGGACACATACTATTCGTTCGCTTGCAAAAGGTGAGTTCATGGCACAAAAAGCCGAATCGCCATAGTAACCAGCAATGTGATAACCAATGAAATCGAGATGACTGTTTGGGGAGTAGACGATACTGCGAGTTACTTATTCGAAAGGTTGAGACGCATAAGGTTGGAAGACTGGTAGACACTGACCGATGTAAATACGTAGCCTGGCCGAATGTTGCCTGCGACCGAAAAACTGTCTCTGAAAGAACGAAAGGTGAACAGTTTCCACCAGGCTGGCAACCCACTAATCGTTCGTCAAGCCTGGGGACGAAAAAGCATGCACCAGCAAACCAGAATCAGAAAAGAGGACATTCAATGTGAGGAACTGGCACGCACCCGAGCGCTTAAGTATGTCGCTTAACAGCCCAGATGTGACTTAGTCTACACGAAAACGTTCAGCGACCTAAAACGGAGGCAGTGATTGGGTGCGTTTGTGACGAAGCATGGCCTATATGCGATTTGGGAAAAGCAGGAACACACCGCAAGCATTTACGCCTCCAGTGGTTGTAGTTCGCTACACTCGAATAATCAGGCTACTGGTTGGAGGCAGAACGGCTAAAGAACAATTTATGTAAAGCCAGACAAACTGAAAGTGGCCCAGAGACATGAGCAGAAATATGTGGGGGTACCTTACGAAACATGGTAAAAGTAGTATGGTAAGATGTTGTGCGTGGCCAAATAGTGGCGATAAATCAATAAATAAGGAATATCGAGATCATAATTAGAAAAATCACACCTCCCAGGATAAGGCAGGTAAATACCGTATTTTTGGATTCGCAACAAGCAATATTTTAACTTCAGAGAGAAGACTTATGGTGAAATACGGAGTAAAGGAATCGAAAAAAAGGACGAAGGAAAGACCTGAGAGGATCTGGTGACGCACCCGTTTGCTAGGGACACAACTAGACTGGGTGAAGATGGTTACCAATGAACGATGCGCACGACAGGTAGGTGAGAGTTATCTCAGATGGAGTCACTGACCTATGTGTCGAGAGTAATTCGTGGGAGCTGACTAGATCAAAAGCTTACCAAGCACCGGTTGCGAGCATTCCGCAAGCCTAGTAAACTGTGGTGGTCAAGGCATTGCGCCGACAGTTAAGCAAACTGTATCTGACAAACGCATAAGCAGTTCATCAGCATCACGTGTTGACGCTTCGCTCCTGTTCAAATGAAATAGGTGGCATCACTCAGCCCCTGAAGGGTAGAGTATACAATGTAGAGGTACGTTCGACTCTAATGTACGGTTTTGAAACCTAGACCATTAGATCGGCAGATGTAAAGAAGCTAGTTACGTTCGATCACCGGTGCCTTCGCAGTTTGACTCATATCTGGTGGGAACACCGAGTGAGCAACGAGCGTGTTCAACGCCTTGTTTATGGCGCAAGAAGAAAAAGCTAACCGCTCAGCACCGTTATTTCACGCACCAGATTCCGATGGCTGGGCTACGTGTTACGCATGTCAATCCACCGGCTCCCGCGAGGTGTGTTGTTTGCGCGCCCCGGGGTGTGGATGGAAGAAGAGGAGGGGTGGCCAAGCGATGACTTTGTCAAGAGGAATGAAAGCCCTCACTTCGAAGTTGGCCTCGGTTGGAGAGTCTCGGCTCCTTGGTTGGAGTCCGAAAGACGACGAAGACGTTTGGCTGGATACACTTGTTAATACGGACAGGAGCCGACCTCAGTGGCGTTTGTATTGTGATATTCTGTCCCTCCTCTCCTGCTTAGAATCCCTTTAAACCACGATCTCACTTCGAACACATAATATAACTTTTTTCGCGACACAATTGCCGGCTGCTAGTTCTCCGTAACAATGTCCATCAGTCACTGGTGATTCAGCTGAAGTGTCTCTGCTGCGTCATTTTTCCGTCCTCATGTATTGCGGCACAAGAGCTGAGATGTTTCCCACCTCTAGTTCACGTGCATAATATTGAACAGAAATCGGTTGCATGCGAGCTGGGACACTCTGGAGGCAACCAATCTAGATCAAGAGGAGAGACCTAAACTTACGGCGCCGAGATTACAGTCCAAACCACTGATAGAATGCAATATCTAGGTCAACGGATATCGAAGAAGGGCTACTATATCATGGAAATAGATGTTAACAGAGCTGATATTCCAGATAACATTCCTCTACAATAGAACGTGCAAGTGGTTGGCTGAATATTGGGTTCCTAGGATAATGTTCAAGGAAAGACAAGAACGTGAAAACCTATTATAAGTTCTGAAATGAATAGAAGCACATGTACAGACTGTAAGGTAACCGATAGTTAAAACAGATGAGTGAAAAATGAGGGATGCTTGTTTGGACACAACCAAAGTCGAATTTGGCACATTAACAGAAAAAGTGGGTGTTAATGCCCTACTGGCTGGTTCATGTTGCGTGTTCGAGAGATGAACAGCTGTTATTGCCAAATTCGTATCCTGTCAAGTGAGTATAACTGTTAGAGCGGAGGAATTTAAGCAAAGATTTCGCCAATAAAACAGATCCCGCTGAAGACTCACCTATCAGTTTCTGTAGTAGAATGCTGCAGAGGCGAGGCACGAACGGTGGTAGAGCTAGGAGTTGACTGAACGGGACGAGTAGGATCAGTAATCTCCACCGTGAAATCGCGGATACCGTAAGTTGGGAAGACACCAGTAGAGGATACATTTGCATGCCCTTTGGACGCAGTCGAATGATCAGGAGTAGGAGCAGATTTATCTGAGGGTTTCGTGCCAGAATCCTTGCGTGTACCTGGTGGCGTATGCACCACAGGGATGTTATACACTTTTTTGTCCACTGTAGGTGAAGGATGCATGTTTTTAGGAGAAGTCGCTTCCTCCAACCTGACACTCAATGGGGATGGTAGATCGGATGGCCCGGATGAGGCTATCGAGAGGTCTCGATCAAAGTGATATGTCACATGTGTAGTGCTCACAGGCTTCGAGCGTGATAAAACGTCGCCTACCACTTCGGCACCGCTGTGTGACAGCCGCTCCACGTCAACATCACCAGGAACCAAGTGACGTGGTGACATTTCATTAATAAGTTTGCGTTTCGTGAGGAAACTGAATCTGTCAGAAGATTGGGAGTTCGTAGTACGGTATGGGGCGGACTGCGTAGTTTCCACGTCTGGAGTAACATCCTGTGGCACATTAGATTGTACATCTGAAGCGACGTCTTGTTGCATGCTGGATGGCACGTAAACAGCAGAAGGGAACAGCTGCTGAACTTCCGCAGGTGACAAAGGCCTGGAGGAGCGCAGTTGCTGTAGCGTGGAAATAACGGGTGCAAACGAGCGGAGAGAGGTGTTACATGCGATCAACAAACTTCGGCTATTTAAAGAACCAGTGACCAAATAGCAGAGGAAGGGTTCTGATGACATGAAACTGGGTGTTTAGCAAGGCGCAAAATTACGCACAACGGTTCCATAAGTGAGCACGCATTAAAGCATACGGGTGTACAGGAAAAATTCCAGCTGATATTGAGATAGGCTGCTTGGCTAACGGACCAGTTAGACTTGTCATAGACCCATGCTAAAAGAGAAACGAGCAAAAAATACAACCAGGATCACACCGTGAAGACCTTCACCTTCCTGGACCTGATTACCCAGTAAAGCCGAAGAACCGAGGCGGCATTGTGATCTGCTAAATTCACCAACACAATAGTTGCTTATGTTTTGTGTGGAATTCGGTGTTCAAAAGAAATCAATCATTTCCTGGTTAAGATCCGAAAGGCCTCACACATCACACGCACGAGAAACACCAAATTGCATCAATTGGTGTATGACAGCGAACACCTCGGTACCACACTCTGTCCACAATAGCTAGGACGTGCGGTTTGTAAACACTTCAGCCAGCTGTCTTGACGTGTGTTGCATAGAGCAATTACGGCGTCCACTTAGGTGAAGCTCTGAATTAACTAGCCTGACATGTAAAGTATGAGGAAGTTAACCTAAAGAATAGGTGGAATTAGCGCACGCCGTCAACTAGACGGAGTTCTCCAGCACAGTCAAATCAGCCCTCTGCATATGGTTCCTAAGTCCTAACGATTGAAATGACCCCACACATGCCCATCTGGTCCTCCCATATTATTTTAGGTATGGATTCGGAGACAATGTAAGTCAAAGTGTTAACGGCTACAGTTTTTCGCTTGGATCTTGCTGATCTAGTAAATGGAACATCACCTCCATAATTACTGAAAGCTTGCCGATGACGCTGTTCTCAGTTGTGTCCACCGAGTGTTCCACCAGCACCATAGATCAAACAATAATTGGATCACAGTGAGAGATGGCCGTTAGTTCGGTCTTTTGTTCTTAACGCCACGTAAAAAAACATCAACAACACGCCGTTACGTATTACCGACGCTTCGCTGTCACGCAACTACCACTTGTCGCACGCGGGCTAATGATACTGCGAGGGTCGCCCTGCCCTTATGCAGGTTAGAACCCGTGTCGTCAGATTACAAGACAAACACGTTAGGTTTAGGCTACGAGCCGTTCATGTTGTTTTGGGCATGAGAAACCAACTTTCTCGGTCAATTAAATGGCTCACAGGAGTAAAAGGTAGTTAGTGATGTTAAGAACACTGAAATACCCAACGGCACCAAGCCACGCGCTTGGTTCGAACAAGTCGATGTTCTATATACTCATCCACAGTTCAAGCGTCTCAAGTTGGACTGAAGTCATTCTCCTCGGTACATGTGAAAGGATTCAAGCCCGGTATTCGGCTCACTAACCTCCTCTGTCGGTGGCAGTCGATGAGGAAGATGAAATGACTCGTTATCTATAAGATGGAGGACTTCGGTGAGGTCGGGGAAGTGAGTGTTACGAGGGCGCACACCAGAGTATGATCGGAATTCAAGTACGCATTCAAATTCGACGGAAAGATTGCATGCATCATCTACAGCTAACGGCACAATGTCATCATCTGTAACTGACTAAGAACAAACACCAGAGGCACAGGACATGTGGTAGCATGCTGGTATTTGTAGAGGAATCCACGAGAAGGAAAGAAAGACATCAGCAGTACGCCAGTACGCAGTACCGACGCTTCGGTGCCGCACAATCACTATGGGTCGCACGTAACCTAAGGATACCACAAGGGTCGCCTGGTCCACTACGCAGGCTCGAACCCGCGCTCTCGGATTACAGGGTACGCATGTAATCCCTAAGGCTCCGGGTTGGCTTTATCGGCAAGAATGTCCTGGAACCCGTCTCTATTAGCTTAATCCCCTCGCTTCTATCATTCATCAAATTTGTTTCATCATCTGAAAGGCAATATCGCTGATTGTGGCAGCTAGGGATATTACATTTGCTCTGTTCTTACCAGCCGAGGCATGAGCCTTATTTTCGATAACTTAAAAAACCTTTCACGGGCACGATTCTTCGACAACTTACTGGTCCCCGTGAAGGTCGAAGCCCTGCCGCCTACTCTGGTCGTTAGTGTATCGATCACGTGGTTACTCTGCGTCAAGTGTTAGAACAGAGACACAGTTAAAGGAAACGGAGTACTGTGGTTGTCCTTGACCTGAAAACCGCTTCGACTCTGTTGCTCATGTCAGCTTGTTTCAATGCTTGACCGTGAAGGACGTGCCAGGAAGTTGTCATTTCATGGTGTCACTCAACCGTGTACAGAAAGCTGTCTCCTTGGGTCCGCACGACAGGTGAGGTTTTCTAGGGTTGCCCTACATTTCATTTTCTATCCGAATTTGCGATTGAAGCAATCATAAATAACGCTTATTGCAGCCTATTCCTGGTGTAGACGTTTTGCCATGTGACCAACCAACAAACCTTGGCTTTGCAGATGACAGCACCCCTTGGGTCCGACGCAATGGTTAGACAAGTACTACCGAATAGACTGACGCTTAGCGCTGCAAGTTACGGTTTGCGGCACTCTGCCATCTGTACTGTCGGTCAACTGTTTAACGTATACTTGCACTGTTGACAAGCTGCAGCATGTGGGTTACACATTCAAAGAGCAGAGTTCTGTTGCAGTACTAGATGGATACGTCACTGGTTACTATTATCAAAGAACAGCAAAGGAGGCTGTGGATTAGTTCACTTACCTTGGTAGTTGTGTCACCTTCGGGTGTTACTTCATTTCATGTATCAACAAAGTCCGTGTGGCTTTCCAGAAGCCCAAGCATCTATAGAGATGGCGAGATGTCAGCCTGTCAGTAAAAGGTACAGTGTGTAACGCCACGATAAGGTCGGTGTTTTCGTCTCGATCAGAGACCTGGACAGTTCTCATGGACGTTACCAAGAGTTTGTCCGTCTTTGAATACCAGTGGTTGTGAAGTATTACTCATACCTAGTAGGAACACCAGGTGAGAAATGCGAGATCAACCAGCTGGTTTTCGGCAACCAACTGTCTATTACCTCACTGCAATGCTTGCTAAAGCCTAACCGCTCACATAGGCTAGTTCATGTTCTCTGTTTGCCCGTTAACTGCCCTCGTCGGCATGCATTTTATGCTGTCGTCGCACCAATTGGAGCGAAACCACGAGGTAGCCAGTGGATGACGTGACATGATGGCATGAAGAAATTGACAGATAGACTTGGTCAGGCTGGTGCGTGTCGTCTTCGTGTGTGATAACTTCGGGATAGTCCACGTCAGTCACAGCCGTTGGCGTCTATGCATTCGATTTCCCGCATCTATTTGTCAATACTCAATAAATTACGATTGGTTTTACATATTTCTTTCCTACCTCCATTTTAGTCATATTCTGTTTGCGTTCACTAGCATTTTCTTGCGCTTATTATTTGTTGTCGAGCTGGCAAAGCGAGTCGTGGGGACTGGCTTCATTGCATTTCGCTGCCCGAATCATAGCTGTTCCGCTGCATTGAAATGAACTGAGACAATTGGCAGAGAATAAAGCAACAGGTATAAGACGCCCCTACCATAGTCAGTGGTGACCGACAATGCTGGTCCCGGAAGACAACTGCAAACAGGACAGCAAGCTCAGGTCAATCTACTCACATTATTCTACCGAAGAATCTGCCGATTACCTGATGCGTTTTCCTAGCAAATATGACCTCAGAAATTGGGTCAACGAGAGCTGTAACTAACCCGCATAGACAAAACATGACACAGTAAGAAAGATCGCTGTGGTGCACAGGGTGTGCACGACATGTTTCGGTTCAGTTTAGCTGCACAGTTATGCACTCACCATCACTTCGTTATGGGTGCGTGTAGGGGGAGGGTAATTGAGCAAAAAGTCAATGTGGAGTCAGACAGTTAAATCAGTAAATAGTCGAATGATTGGAAGGGAGTGATTGCAAGCGTGGCAGTGACATCCCCTCACTTGCGCTAACGCAAATGGTGTTTCTGAACAGATGGAGTTCATGGACAACATAGCAAAGAATAATAATAATAATAGTATTAGCAATAATAACAATGTGTCAGCTGTACGCCACAATGGCGCTTCGCTGCCGCGCGACCACCACCAGTTGCGCATGGGCTGATTACACCGCGGACACCCGACCCATACGCGGATTCGAACCGGCGACCTTATGATTGCAAGCCAGGCGTGCAGAACACTCGGCTACCAGCCGACACATGGCAGAGGCATCAACATGATCCAGATTGTCAGACATTTTCTTTCTTCTCTCCACAACATTACTACGTAGCTAGCACGAAAATTAGCTCTACTAGACAAGAATCCGGTAAACCAAATGCACTGGGGTAGGCAGCGAACTAACATGACAAGATCATAACTTGAGCAGCGTAGATAACGCAGAAGTAGTGGAAAATCCGGAGAAATTCCACAGCGACTGCTGTCTGACACCAGCAAGCAAACTCGTACACCATTCACGTAGTTATATCAACATATTTAACAGCTGTTGCAAAGGTGCAGGGGTCTGATATGGGCAGTCTTACGGTGCCAGGTTTTTTATGGTTCTTTGTCTATTCGTAGACTGATGCAAACAATATACACAACGTGATGTTGTAGCAACATGTGGCATATTTAAGGTTCGATGACCAAGTCAAGACATGGTGCTTCAGATCAAGGTATTTAACCACACCAGGGAAAGTATTGATATGGGTAGCATTAAAGACTAGTGTCTATCCACTCATTGGCAATACGTCGCGAACCAAGCAGAAGTCATGTATTAAACTGCGCACCTAATCATCAGCCCTCGGTAGCTCAGTGTTCGAGCAGCGGACCGGAAATTCGTGGGATCGGGGTTCGATTCCCCGTCGAGGCACATTATTGTGTGGTTTAATCGTGACTTCTACTTTCTACGAACCTTACGCTACTCACAAA